AACAAAAACTAATGTTTCATAACCAAGATACTGTCTTTATAGGGCAGTAACATTGAAGATGAAGGTATAACGTTTGAAACGATAGGTCGCAACATCCAAGTGAGCGTAAGAACACTGATATATCACAGTGCTGTTACATACAACTGACGAGTTGGGAATAAAAAAATTTATCACCCATCACCAATTTATATAAACTACCATTATAGCATATATTTTCAGCAGTTTTGCTGTCTCTTGATAAACATAAATACACTTCTTTAGTGTTGTTCAGTGAAAACTCAGTTTCAACTGGAATAAAAGTCCATATATATTTGAAGTTCAGTTTCCACAGGACTGTTTTATTATGACAAAAACTTAAAATCTTCAAAATTATCTTTTTTTTTCAAAAAGAAACTGGCATGTTGGTACATGTTTGAGCAGTTTATCAATGAATTTCACTATGATAAATGCATATAAATACAATGGTAATTAATTTCTTGTTTTAAATTGCTACACATAAATCTATCACTGTTGTTTGGTAAACAGATATGGACTTTTAAAAATTATATTTTATTGAAACACTTTTTAAACAATAGTCAATGAATCAGACTAGATTAAATTCATCCTAAAGTATTCAAACTTGATGTGTTTTGTTGAAGAGTTTAACAATAGGTCAAATTGGTTGTAAAGATCTTGTTAACCTTTAAATGTTTCTCAACCCTTTTTACAATTCATCATTAACAGATTACTGATTAGATCATTTTGACTCTTATAGTAAGTGGTATTGAAGATCGGTTCCGTGGTGAGCCAAGGAAGCTTATTATGGGAATTGATGAAGCTCGAATCTCAAGTATCTCATTGGCCTGGTCTTTAAAGAAGAAAGCAGAAATCTAATCAACCAGTAGGGAAACAACAAGATATTCGTGGGGACCGATAGTTGTTTTCGAAAACATATGACGTACAGATAACTAAAAGGTGATTAGCAAACCATAAAAATAGTCTTTTATGCTGTAGTTAGTGAATCTCCATCATTGATTGGACCGAACTGATAGGCCACTATTGATATATGGGCTCCTTCACGAATATCGGTATTTTTCAGATTTAATATTATTAATGGATAGTAGCTAGCAATGGAATCCAGGATGGGCGTTTTGTCCTATTTCAGACTCGCCAGTCAAACTACACCCGTCGCACAAAGAGTGGATAAAGCTCTGGTGTTTGAAGCGATGAGTTCTGTCTTCGAATCTTAGTGGGGACATCACTCACTGAGGTTCAGGTCCATTCAGCTGACGAGATCCAAACAGGACAAAACCCACTTCTTGGATTCTACAACTAGCCACGTATTAAGCCACAAAAACACAAAAATGTTTCATATCATTGTATCTGAGTAGAGAAGATGCATAACAAAGGGTAACTAGCCTAAGTCAGTCAACCAAAAGTATACACTCGAAGTCTTGTGTTCAACATTAACTGACTTATAGCATCAAATCTCAAGATGACTACTACTTCTATATAGCTTAGGACAGGCATAACCCAGCATTCCAGTCAGAAGATTTACAACTAACCTATTCAGATCATTTACAGTATATTGACATTACTCTTTTCCTTTGCCTAACTACCCTTTCATTACACCGTCATAATGTGTAACAACTTGGGAAGGTACTTAACTATATTTTTAGTTTCTTTTGCCTCTTTAGTTATTGGTACTTTTTGATGTCTTCGAAAGCAGTCTCCGGTTGACTCCTAAAACAGGTTAATTGTCTGGTAACCACGCACGCCTGGATATCACAGACTGACCACGGTAGAACAACAGGGCACAGTATTAGTCAAACGAGTGTGGGCTACGGCCAGCCTTTGAGGGATAACCGAAGCCGGGTAATCACTTCTATCCCTGCTAAGAAGGCCTTCTGTGTTAGTGGAAGTGCATTGCCTGTTGTATACAACGTGTTCATGCATATGCGCCTAATTATAAATCGTCCTTATGGTCACTGATGTCTGGTAGACCTGACAAACTAGAGAAAGCTTAGAAAACCAAAGTAGCTTGAGGCTTGGAGGGATATTATTCAAAATAGACCTCAGGAGCTCATGTTTTTCTACTTTATAGGATTAAAATTACCAGCATTTTGTGATAATTCTGTCTAATTCTATACCCTATTCTTATTCGTCTCACTATCACTATATTTCTGACTACTTCCTCTTTTTTGTCTGTTATGAAGTGTCCCATCTTGGCCAATGAACTTCGTTGAAATTTTACTTCCATCACTTTTTGTCTATAAAGATAAACCACGTTCAAACCAACATTTTTGGAACATATTTCTTCGACAAGGAAATGTATTCCATATAAAACTTGTTTTAGATAGATTGTATACTTCTGTTTAAAGTGAACTATTTTTAAATTACTACTTAACTAGGTGAGTTACTATCTTCACTCAAAGTTTTCGCCTTCATTATTAAATCTGTCACCATTTATCAATAACTCTGTTAATGATGGACCGTGGCTAGCAGTGGAATTCAGGATGAGCATTTCGTCCTATTTGAAACTTGTCAGCTGGATGTATCTGCTTCCCAGTGAGACATGTTGTCCCCACCGGGACTCGAACTCAGGAGTGATCGCTTCAAACGCCAGCGCGTTATCCACTACACCACCAAACCACGATCGTCACTTCTTGTGGACGGGCATAGTTTAAGTATAATTGTTTTTTTTATATGATACCATCGTTGATTGGACCGAATTGATCGGTCTCTATTGGCATATGGGCTCCTGTGTGGATGCCTCGATATTGCCTGTGTTCTAATTATGTTAATGATGGATCGTGGCTGCCTGTGGAATTATACTATACAATTATACTAAACTATACCCGTCACACAAGAAATGGCTATCGTCGCTCGTTGGTGTAGTGGATAACGCGCTGGCATTTAAAGCGATCGCTCCCGAGTCCGAATCCTAGTGGGGACAACATCACTCACTGGGAAGCAGGTACATCCAGCTAACGAGTCCAAAATAGGACAAAATGTGCATCCTGGATTCCACTGCTAGCCACGATCCATCATTAACATAATTAGAACACAGGCAATATCGAGGCATCCGCACAGGAGCCCATATGCCAATAGAGACCGATCAATTCGGTCCAATCAACGACGGTATCATATAAAAATCAATTATACTAATCAATAAATCTGATATCCACTAACGGTTCAGTTTCAAAGGTCACTGACATCACATACTGTATTGATAGATATGGATTCATACTTCCACCACCCACCTAATCCCCAAACCTATGCAGTCGTCCAGTAAGAAAGGCAACCGTTCTACAGTCTAGAAAACATTCTGAAGTAGTTGTTCTTGAAATCATTGATACTTTCAAGCAATTCGAAGAAGAAATCAAACATTTTAAGTACGGAATGTTACTTAGTCAATAGATTTAAGTTACTAAAAAAACTGTCGATGCAACTGCTTATCGACTGATCGTTTCACGACCAAATCAAGAAAGTGAGCATACCAAACGTTATTATAACACATTTTGTTAAAATTACTGGTGTAAAAGCATTCCCAGTATCACATTTTCTAGAAACAAGTTTTTATCACTAATTGACATCGGGTACTGGAAAAAACAATCCCGCCCTTGCTACTCACATAAGATCATTGGTGAATAATAACAGAATTTGCTCATACTTTAGTACCATTTAAGAGGAAGGAAATTATTCTGAATCAGAATATCATTTAACCAGTGAAATTTACAAAGAAAACAATTTGGTATCATTATTGATCATTTCCAATACTTTTTATTTAGCGTTCATCTTTACTGGGAAAAGAACAGAAAAATAAAGTATAAAGACATAATTGTGAACACCTCTGTTGTTTGTGCAGAAATTACACTGGTACTGCTGTGCAGTGATATACATTTTTTGAGTGTAGAATACTTTCCCATATCTACGCGTAAATCTGTCCTGTATGTGTATGTGTGTATTGGCCAACAACTTCTTGTACACAAATACCTTGAACACGACATGGGTTAAATTATGTGCATAGCCCTAGCTGCTAGACAAGTTACTTTCGTGTTTGTTCCAAGCGAATGTTAGTTAGATGAGTGAATAAATAAGCAATATGCAACATAATTTATTAACGCAAGATAGGGAAAGAGGGAGAGAGAAGAGATATGTGGGCGATCTATGTTCGCTCATTTGATTGACAGTTTAGTTGAGTTTCTTAAATGTGTCAGTGAATATTCATAACCATTATTAAATAACCAATACCTATAGAGTAAGGAGACGGAGAGCAGAAAATCTCTCTCACCACCAGTTTTATTATAGACCAATTAAAATTGAGGTCTGCATAGGTATGCCTTGTTGACATTGGTTTCTTAAACAAACGCTTGCCAATAGTTTGTTGTGCATTTATAAACGCAATTTCAGCAGGTAAGAGAAAATTATGAACACACCTCTTAATCCAAGAAACTAAACTGCGCGTTTCTTGCCCCCCTTTCTTGTTTTTTTTAGTTCTGAACAATCCAATGATTGACGGATAGATATTTGATAAATCGCTTGGCTCAACTAAATGCAAAATAGCAAGCGGAAGTGTACGGGAATAGTAATAATTATTGTAGTAAATAATAACAAGCAAAGCAAGAAATTCACGCTTAAAAATGTCTAGGGGCCTTAAAGATCGTCAAAGTTAACGACAGTGCATCCGAAAAATATTTTTTCCTACAGAGTCTTAGACTAACAAGACGTTGGATTTTGAACGCGCCCATCTGCCTCTGTATCCTTGTCACCATTACCACAATTGCAGTACTGTCAAAATTCTTCACCAATAATATACACAGATTTTTATTCTGATTGAAACTGTAAGTGCATGCTTCAGGACATTGAGACACAAGAACATTGAAAGAAGAGACTACAATTTATTGAGTGTTATTTCATTTCTTCACATAAGGGTTTGCAAGTTGTTTATTTTGATGCTTTGTTGGAAACTATACCTAACACAACTACTACATTTATCATCATAAAACTTAACTGCAGTGATGCCAAGACGAAGACGTTCTTCACTTACAAATGCCACTGCAACTAATAATAATAATGATAATAGTAACAGTAATACAAATAATGGGAGGATAACTAATCCATCTTCAAACCGCCATCAATACCAAAGTCACCATTCAATAAATAATAATAATAATAGTAACTTAAGATACCGTGGAGGACGTAGTGTAGACACAGTCCCATCCAATCAAAATCGACTTCAAGATACTCAAGAAACTCAGGATTGTCATGTTTCATCAACGACTACCAATTTAATGCAAGAAATTCAAAGGTGAGCGTTCTAAATTATTCCATACTTATCAATAGATTGTATATATATGCGTTATTTTAAATTAAATATCCAAGGTTTACGCAATATATATGTATATTGATAAAATGTAAAATATTCTATTCTCCCCCTCCTTTTACTTGTATCCACTTTACATGTAGGGTATTATGTATGATGCACTTTCGTTTATAACATAACTAAATTTATCTAATCACTCAAGTTGGTTAGTCAATTGTTAGATGCAGCTAGTGAACCCACCATCCCTGTTAATACACTTATTTAGTAATTATGGAGTAATGAAATGTATACAATCAGAGTATTCACTCCCATTTTAACAACCTTGACAATGATAACTACTAGCAAAGAGAACCGCCAATATCAAAACCATTGAGGACGGTATTAATAAACAAAACTACTTTGCATATGTGAATAAAAAGTGTTTCGTGACTGTAATTCAATTAGCTCATGTAAAGTCGTCAATACAAACTAGTTCTACATAGGAGTCATTTTTTTTACCTGAGTAGCTAAAAAAAGTGGTAAAGCCTCTGACTTTAGTAGTGAATGATACAAGTTGGAATCTCCCATAGGGACACCAGTTTCTTGTCTGTTACAGATGCGCCTTTGTGATGAGTATTTAAAAAATCTAGGGCTATGGCATCCTGTGAACTGTCTCCTGACAGTTAAAGTGAAAATGAAAATTCTCTGTCACACAGAACTATATATCATCCGCTTATTCAGATCCAACTTTCGAGAACAAATGAGGTGAAAATAGTGTTGGTTAGTAACAATAACACTATGAATAACGATATTCATAATAATAATAGTCATATGAAGTGTAACCCTGTCGTCTTGTACGAAATAAACAAGAACTCCATATCAATGTATAACCATACTTCAGACAACGGGTGAAATCATAGAAGTTTCTTTAAGTAATGTTGATTAGTTTTAGAAGTCATGATGCACGTTTCTTTCTATACGAAACTCGTCAGCTGAATGTTCCCAACTAGACTGAGACCTGGCACCGATTGCTTCAAACGTCATAGCATTACCCATTAGTCCACTTATTTGTGATTACCATGTTTTATGCAACGGGTATCATTTTATATTTATTGATACTTGTAATTTTCTGCTGATAATTATAATAAACCGAAGTGATCGGTCTCTGTTGATAAATGAGCTCATTGAATGTATGCATCAGAGAGGAGGCTATCTACTGACGGGGATGCAGGCAGATCCACTTGACGAAACCGGAATAGGACGAAACATGCATCCTAGATTCTACTGCTAGTCACTACCAAGCAAATCAAATTAAAATAATAAATATTATCCATTACTTGACAGTGTGCATTCGTGAATAGTATGATGAAAATTTTCCAAATCAAAAACTTTATGTGAATACTTTTGGCATATGTAACTAAACATTTCATTCAATAGAGTACGCTATAGGTAAAAATAGTGGTTGGTTGACCAAGACATTCCATAAATTAACTTTTCTTTCAGCTAAAATTATTGTCTCATTACACTAAGATCAGATTGCCGGTGTAGGGTTGTCTCGAATAGCTGCACTAAAAGAATTACCATTATCTATCCTTACTTTTGTTGAAACCTTACATTCTTTGACACAGAAAATAGCGAAGGTGTCAATTTAATAGACGACTGCCTCAGATCTGCATCTCTTATCCGATATCTTTTGAATATGCAACAAAGTTAGAATATTACTATTTGTTGATATACTTGTAATTCCCTGTTGTTTTATTGGATAGAATTGTTCGACTTCTATTAGTATATGGGCTCCTATGAGAATGTCTCGATATTGTCACTATCCTGCCTCCGTGACATAGTGGATAACGCCTTGGTGCTTGAAGCGTTGGCTACGAGGTTCGAGTCTCCGTGGGAACCACATCACTCACTGGGGTACTGGTACACCCAGCTGACGAGTGCTAACTAGGACGAAAAGCGCTTCTTGGATTCATCTGTTAGCCACAACCAGACAAATTACCAAAGTTAGAATGCGCTAAGAATCTTTGGTGGATAGATCGACAGGACTTCAACCAATTGCCAAACACCCAGCAAAGAGCACCACGATGGTGGATATCCCAACTAAGGTGGTCATAGTACAAAATGACCGTTGGACAGCAGAGTTGAACTGTGAATCGTTGGTTTAGGGAGTGGACTTACAACCACTGGGTCGCGGGTTCAAGGCCGATGAAATACCCTAGGCTGAAGTATCTTTATGACAGTAATATACTAGTCAAGGTACTTTGTTTTTGCAGACAACTTGAAGGTAAGCCGTTAGCTAAGTTCGACTGTGTTGTAACAACCAACCGATGGTAAGTTTTCACCTCGTCTATAACTCTGTTGTTGTACGGGTGCCCATAGTGTTAAGTTAGTTTTTCGTTGGCGACGAGAATCTATTGGGTAGAGAAAATAGGAGGAGAAAAACATGAGCCGACGATTCAACAAGCACAAATAATGAAATATAATTGACAAACGGTAGTGATTCACAGCAAAAGGATGAGACAATCTTGAAATCAAGATATGAAAGTGGATGAATAATCTCTCAAATGCACTGCAGAACAAAGCAACAAAATATGTTTTAAATGTAAATCAGACAGTGAGAAAAAATCGCTGTTGAAGAATAAGTAAATAACATTGTCCAGTGAATAAAATGTATGAAATCAAACTCTTATGGCCTATGAAAGTGATTTCCAGGGCAATTTTTATTTAATGTAAACAATTTCTAAAAATAAAGCGATGATATTGGAGATTGTGAAAATCTCCTCCAAATAAGTTTCTAAGATTCCTAGTGGAATTGAATATAAGACTCTTAAAGATAATAATGATGGATTATGAGTAATTGTGGAATACAGGGCGCGCTTTTCGCCCTATATATGTGCAGTAAGCAATGTTGTTACCTGCATAACTGTAATAGGAAGGAAGAAGGAAGAAGATAAGGAATGGATCTCGACGGATACCTGGAAGCTGATAGAGGAGAGGAGGATGGTGAAGCAGAAGATGAACCAGTACAGTGTAGGTATGAACAACGAGAAGAGGAACTGATTACAACGTATAAAACACTACACTGGACAAAGAAGTGAAGAAGAGTGCGCGCAAAGACAAAAGACACTTCCTCAACACACTGACAAGTGAAGCGGAACAGACTGCAGACTGCACGTAGGAGAGACAGAGACCTGGCAACACTATATCAAGTAACCACATTACTATGCGGGAAGGAAGAGATCAACACAAATGAAACCAATAAAAGATGATGAAGGAAATTTAATTACCAAAAAAGAGAAACGCTACGCATCATCATAGAACAGAGTATAGAATGGCAGTCAACTCAACTCTACCTCACCTCAACTTCATCGACTTTGAAAAGGACTTTGACAGCGTCGACTGAGAAGTAATTTGGAAACTGCTTCAACACTACGGAATACCACAAACCTCTCTCAACCTCATTCAATAACTATATGGAGACACCACATACCAGCCAAGTAATTCACAATGGGAAGCTCAGTGATGCTTTTGAAGTGAAGTGAAGACAGGAGTGAAACAAGGCTGCAACCTATTGTCACCCATCATATTCCTGATTGTGGTCGACTGGAGTGGATCATGCAGCAGATAACTGTGAGGAGCGAGCAGGGGGATACGTTGGCTGGAGTGATGAAAAGAACCTAGAATATTTGGATTTCGTTGATGACTTGTGTCTGATGTCTTGTGGCACAAACTTGGAGATCTACAGGTGAAGACTGACAAGTTGACAGAAGAGGTGAGGCAGGGCAGAGAAGATGAGACTTCCTTCATGTGAACGTAGAGGAGAGAGAGGGGTGATGATGATACCCGACAACACCACCAGCACTACTGCACAGCAGTCCGCTCTGTTCTACTGTATGGCTCTGAAACATGGCCATTGAAAGTGGAAGACATGAGAAGGTTACAGGTATTTGACCACCGTTGCCTTCGTAGTATAGGACGTATTCCGTGGTGTCACCACGTGAGTAATGCAGAAGTTAGGTGTAGAGTTTTAGGGAGAAGAGGTAAGTCAGTCGACGAGGTTGTGAACCTTCATCGACTGAGATGGTTGGGACACGTACTACGTATGCCTAGTCACCGATTGCCTCTTCACACAATGTTGGCTGAGGTGGGTTCAGGCTGGCAACTCGGACCGTTACGCAGTAATGCCTGGTCCTATGTTGATAATGATGATGATGATGATGCACTACCACCAACACGAACAACAAACTGCAATCACCATGAATGGGAGAAACTTAAAGGAAAGTAGTCTCTTTCACCTACCTACCTACCTGCCTACCTACCTACCTACCTACCTACCTACCTACCTACCACCCCACACCTACTTACTTACTTACTTACCTACCTACCTACCTACCCAGACAGCACCATTTCAACTACAGGTGGCACAAGTACAGACGAGGACGTCAAAGCAGCCAGGATCGGGAAAGCAAGACAGGCTTTCATTAGCCTGAAACAGTCAGTGTGGAGGTCTTCTGCATTCAGCATAATGCGTGAACAAGATTCGGATTTTCAACACCAATATCACTCAAGTCAATCAGTGCTTCTATGTGATGCTTGAGAGACTTGGCGCGTCACGAAAAGCACTTCCAACAAACTACAGATATTGGTCATCAACAACTGTCGCCCACGCTCACTCGATACTGAGGATGAGATGGATTGTCAGAAAGAATAAGCGAGAAGGAACTCTGAGAACGAACTAACCAAGAACCTATAACGCAACAAATATGCACTGGAAGGAAGTGGAGATGGATTGGTTCGGAGATACACTGAGAAGGCCGACTGGGGACATCACGCACTAGATCAGGCCAGACCATCGAGTGGAATCAAAATGGGAAACGGCAAGTTGGACGTCTGAGGATGACACGTAGGAGATCATGTAAGGAAGAAATGAGAGTTTGTGGGCAGTCGTGGAGCCAGGTTCAAAAGATTGCAGAGAAGAGAGTGGAATGGAGATCTGCTTCTGA